TTTCCTTAACTTTATGAAATGCCAAATATATCTCCAATTATAGAATCACCCAGCTATCCTCCTTGCATTGTCGTGTTCAATATTTTTTTTTTTTTTTTTTTTTTATCATGTGGACTTGTTTTTCTGCCACCCCCTTTAAGACGTGCAGGCCATGCTCATTAATTCCTGTCCCTGTTATGTTCTCAATACACACTGTTTTGTGATATCTGGAGGTGTGTCACCATGTGCTGCAACTCAACCACTAAGAGCTCACTAATGTTTACCACAGCTGTTACAACCTTTGTGCAAATGTTCGTCAAACCCTATCTTTCCTTGAACTTAAATCGCTAAAATCAAGATTAAAGGTCCGAATAAACGGATCAATAAATACTGGTGGGCAGTGCTGTCAGCTTAAAACATTTAAGGGCTTTACTTAAAGACCAATACAGGCTTAAGGGATATTCCTACACGTATTTTGTTTAATTAGTAAAAGACAAGGCAATATGCAGGCTTTTAGAAACTGCGGTTTGTGTGCTAGTGGGAGTCTTGTTAAAGGTCGGACCGACTTCCTGGTTGCTCGGAGAAACATGGCTGTTCTACGACTGAGTGCTGCATGCGTTCAACTCCTCAAGTAAGATTGCGGTCATATTTTAAGCTAAAAGGTGTGGTAGAAATGGGTTTTAGGAAGTTATTTTCAATAAAGCTCTATGCTCAGTCTAATTTATTTTCTTATATTAAAGGGACAAGGCCAATGTTTTCTGCAGGAGTCCCGTTCATCAGCGTCTCCTGCGCCTGCCGGAGGTCGCCCGATCCAATAGAGTCGCTTTCAGTCTCGCCAGCAGCCTCTGTGCAGTTCCTTTTACACAGGTAACATTAATGTATAACCGTTTAAATGTTGCATGTAGACAGTGAACGAATGACAAACTTATAAAACGCTCGTATAGAGAGCGTGACCACTTGACAACATTATTCGTCGAATCAGTTACTGTCGCATAACTATTTTCTTAATTTATTTTTTTGCAAACTGAAATGTTTTTCTTATTGAATGCTGCCTCAATGCAGTCAGTCACATTAAAGTGTAACAAAATAAATCAGAAATATTTTTTGCAAAAGTTTATACAGGGAAGGTTCCCATAGCCTACTATATGTTATGTTTTATACATGTTCACTTTTTTATAGAATACTACTTTTTACAAGAAAACGTTTAGTACATGATGAGATTAGGGCTTTAAGAGTTATGTTAATTCAGTATCCGCTCCGACTCATTTTTATAAGTGTTGTTGATTCACTGAAAAGAATCGGCTCATTAGAGTCATTCATTTGAGAATGGCACTACACTGGCCTCGCTGGATGTTTATTATTCACGGAAAGGAGTCATTTTGGGAGTCAAAAATATGCAATGGGTTCCCGATACGATTCATTACTATTGTGACAAGTGTAATAAAACGCATCCCTTCTTTCTTCAGCAGGTTGAAAACCTCTCACATGAATCCCTGATTCGTCGGGCCTCATGTCTGGTCACAGACAGTGCCAACACGTACCTCTCTCAGACCACACTGGCTCTTGTGGATGCCCTCACACAGTATGCCAAGGTAAGACTTGTAAACGCAGCATCTCAAACCTATAGTTCACTCAGTAAAAATAGCTTCACAATGTGTCATTCACTTGATTGCTGACAAAGGTGTTATATTTGTAATAAAATATATAGAATATAATTAAAGTTATTTTACCGTATTTAATTTTCTTAGGCACTACATACACTCATTGCCCTTCAGAAGCGATATATAACCTCTATAGGAAAACTTACCCCTGCTGAAGAGGACAGCATTTGGCAGGTGATCATTGGGCAGCGAGTGGAGGTAAATTCTGTTCCTTTAAATGTGTATTTATTTTTTGTAGAACAAGGCCTGCTTTAGTTTATCTAAGTGTTGTTTACATTTTGCAACAATATAGATCATGATTAAGACTGATAAACAGACCTTGTTGATATCAAAGTAGCTTTGATATCAGAGCTTTCACAGTGTTTTTCCCGTTTTTCAGGTTAGTGATCGATTAGAAGAATGCAAGCGCTTTGAGTCAAACTGGATGAATGCCATCAACATCTGTGAGTTGTCAGCAGATGCAGCCTACAATTCGGGTACGTTTATAAGTTATCCTTAATTATTAAACCTATAAGTTTGACCTACTGTGCAATTTGAAAGCATTTATTGTACACGTGACTTTGGTATGGTCTGTGGATTGATTTTTACAGGAGCAGAGCATGCATGCACCGCAACAAAGACTAATCTGCAGGTGGCACAGTGCAAAGTGGAAGAGCTTAGAAAGATCTCAAAAGAAGCAGAGAAAAAACTGGCCGAAACGAAAGCAGAAGAAATCCAGAGAATGGCAGAGTATGCCTCCAGCATTGACATTCATGATCTGGAAGATATTCCAGAGGCCTACCTTCGTGAAGACTAGAAAAAAATAGACATTTGTGACATTGGTATTCTGTAGCCAGCAGTGAATCACTCAGTGGGTATGACTGAATCAAGAATGCACCTTTATATATATATTTGCAATCCGTATTTGGTTATTGAATTAAAAGTAGGCCTCCTTTTGAAGGCCTCGTTGAATCAATATGGTTCATGTTCATAATGATAGCGCAGGTAAAAGTAAAAAAAGTGTTAAAGTGATTAATGCAGCTTGTAAGATGCATATAAAATGTATGTAGAGCAGAAGCCTGCAAAGAAATTGCTTTGAAAGTAACAATGATTTAGTATTTGTATATATGTATATATTTTTCATATTGTTTGTTTATTTTTTTTAGTGCAATTAAATGTGTTAATGCAACAATGAAATCATATCACATGTTAGCAAAGAAATTGCTTTGAAAGTAACAATGATTTAGTATTTGTATATATGTATATATTTTTCATATTGTTTGTTTATTTTTTTAGTGCAATTAAATGTGTTAATGCAACAATGAAATCATATCACATGTTGTGATATTGCAGTGCATACAAAGTTGCAATCAGTCTGTTTTATATTTCTAGAGATCAACTGTTATTTATTATTCTAATAAATGGAAAATTTATTTAGAACCGTTTTTGCAAAATGTGTGAATTCCAATAAATTATTTTCTTGAACTGAATTATGGTGTCTGCAAATTTGACAATGAATTTATATAAATATATGTATAATATTTTGTGGGAAGGTATTATTGACTTAAGCATTATACAATTTTTCATTCACACGCAAAATCTAATTAAATGACATTATCGTTATTAGTTGCTTTCATTTAGTCGGTTTCATGTAGAAGTTCACAGTTTTGACCAACAGAGGGCAATGCCATTTTTTTATGGAAAAAGGAAAACGTTTTGAGTACATGGTGCCCTTTTTCTTTTTCTTTCACTACTTACTTTTTTATGCTATTGTTATTTATTTTTATTATTCTTTCTAGTTTATCTTTTACTGTATATTCTATATTGTTATGTTATTTGTATTGTGCTAGTAAGTTATGTTTGTTCCCCTTCTACCCGATCATTCTCATGAGGAGCAAAAAAAATAAGAATTCCATTGGTACATATGACAATAAAGCTCTTGAATCTTGTTTGGCTGGAAATACAACATCGTAATAATATTTTAGTCTAATTACAATACAGAAGTCTGTTATTAACTGTAAATAAATAATAGTAAATGGATACCCAAAATAGATTTCTGTAATCATTTACTCAACCTGTTGTTGCAAACTCATGACTTTTTTCTTCTGCTGAACATTAAAGTAGATACGCAGAATGGCAGCCTCAGTCACCATTTTTATTGCATATTTTTTCTATACAATAATATTGAATATATATATATTAATATTGTTTTTCATACAACTGTCATTCTGAACAATATCTACTTTTGTGTTCCACAGATGATGACAGAATCATCATGTGATAAGAGAGCTGAATGATTTTCTTTTTGACACTTTAGGTTACAAACTACATTTAATACAGGTTCTTCAAATTGAATTTTCATTCATTTTCAGTAATATACAGCACAATGCTGCATGCTTTCCTAAAGACATCGAAATTATGGTTATCAAGGATTGATATGGCCTGTATTTATACTGAGAATCCTCTAAGTGAAGGGTTTTACAGACCCAGGGTTCCCCATTTAGACTCAGTCAGCTCAGGGCCCCCCAGTATAAAACTCTAGCTAGATTTCCTCTGTAACACCTTATAATATCTTCAATTAAGAACAATCTATCATGTTACATTGTAGAATGATCAGCAGATCTTTAGTTACAAAAAAAAACAAAAAAAAACGAATAGTTACCAATGTCTTAATTTCAGAAAATGAGATATATTTCCTTTTAACTGCACGAAAATATTTGTGTGTGTGCATCAAGTTCCAGAAGCATTTTAGTGAGAGAAAAGGGCCAATAAAATGATTGATTGGTGTAAATGGCAACACTCATTTGGGGATTTATCACTCTTGGAAGGCATAAATAAAACACAAGGATCATGGAAAGCGTGCCCAGCATGGCTCACTCTTTAGTCTGAGTGAACTGGGCGACATCTCCCATGCACCCCATTGAGCCAAGCCATTCCGATACCCTGTCTAGTTTTGTAATATTACAAGGAACATTTTAGCAAATGCATTCCAGCAAGACCAAATGAAGTTCAAGAATCCGTAATAGTATCGCTGACAGCTCAAATACACAGCCTATATTAGACGATTGAATATATATAGATTAAAGGCGCTTCAAAAAACCCTAAAGATATCCCGGGACACTCTTTCGCTTTTTGACTTCGTGCAACGTCGTAACGTCTTATTTTCTCCATTCATTTAGCTGTTGCTATTATAATTTCATCATTTGTGTCTGAAAGATAGTAAATGCTAACTGCATCGCAATGCTCCGCATTGTTGACGGGTTTATTTTTAGTCGGAAACCGCTGCTGGACTGACTGTACCGCCCACGCGCGGCTTGGCTGCTGTGGATCTCACACCGAGTTGATTCAACAACGAGGAACTCACTACTGCAGTCTGAAACCATGGCAGAGGAAGTAAGACACATCTTTGGGAATAGCACGTTTTTCCATGGACTTCTATCTCTCATGGGGCTTCTGCTGAGTGTCTGCACTGGTGGGTACTTTATCTTTTCCAGGATGATAACATGTCATCTTGAATCGGACTTACCTTAAAGTTAACATGCAAGTTTGCGGTGAAGTTTACTTAGCGAGCTGGGATGGGGTGTCTGCGATAGCATGCCTATGTGTAAATGCTCCGTATAGCTGTTTTAAAATTAACTGTTATTGAACTAACAATAATAAGCTCTTTATCTTACTTTCAGAAAATGTTTTTTTTTTTACCGTAAGATGCCCAAGATACAAGCAAAGCGTGTTCAAGTACTGCCTTATCTTTAATTCACTTTAATTGTAATTTATTTTCTTTTAATATACATTATATATGTAACATACACTGTAACATGAAAAATGAATGCAAAAAGCCAATTATTTATTTTTGTGAGTTTGATGTTTGATCTAACATTTTTGTATTGCATGTTTTTTTGTTTTTTTTGGGGAAGATGACCAGATTACACATTATTAGAATTATTAGAATTTTAATTAATAGTAATAGTATAGCTTTTTATTAGGCTACTTTAAAGATGCATTCAGTTATTATTGTCTAATTTTTGGCATATGCTTTATACATAAAGAAATTAAGTGTCAGGGTCATATTAATATAAAAAAATGTCCAAACTAAATAAACAAACGGCTTTATGAAGTGGCAGCAGTTAGCAAACAAACCTAATGCATCCAGGCCAATAGGTGTCAATATAAAGTTTAAAGGCACTGGTAGCTGATTATTGATATCTAAACATTAACCAAAACTTACTAGGTGCATCCCAGTGTGCATACTCATGCACTATTCTAAAATAGTGTGACACCGTGTCTACACTGGACGTGAGAAAATACTATAGAACCCATTATAATCAGTGATGCTGTCTACACTGGATGTGGCATGACGTGACACGAAAAAATCCCGACAGTAAAATGTTGCCTCATTCTATTTATGATGTACTGACAAAAAGTTCAAATGATTTCAGTGGTCGCTTTGTCGCGTCCAGTGTAGACAGCCTCAATCTATTGCGGCGTGGTGCGGCGTGAATTGACGCGATGCATCCGGTGTAGACACGGTGTGAGTAGTGTGTTCACTCTGAAAATTCCAAAAAGAAAAGGCGCACATCAAATACCCAAATGATGCACTTAATTAACTGAAAATAAGCTAAAATACATGCTTTTGACAGAAAGGTACATCCCAGATAACAGAGAACGTTCTGACAACTTTCACTGACCTTTTTGAAAATTGATAAATGTTAGGAGAAAACATTCTTAAAGTAGGCCAAATGTTTATGGAACATTCTTATAACCTTATCAATATTTGATATACGTTCTCATAACGTTGAGAGAAAACGCTCTGAAATCAACGCTCTCTGAACATCACATTATGATATTATTTGAACTTAATGCACATTCTAAGGAACATTTTTGTAACTTTTAAATAACGTTCTAACATGACAAGAAAACACATTTTAACATTCTTAGACATTTTCATTCATCTGGACGTTTTAAGGTTCTTAGAATATTAAAAATAAACATTCAAGTAATGTCATATTTTGGGGGAAAATAAAGTTAGTAAAACGTTGAACGAAACGTTTTTGTAACCTTTAATCAAAGTTAAAATCAAGACAAGAAAACCGGACCTTTCGACATTTTAGAAACATTTCAAAACAATATACCCACAATGTTTTTATAACCTGAATTTGTTACTTGGGATATTGCATAGTGTATAGTATTTCTTTTGGGATACAACTTCTATGTGAGATTCAGATTCCACTGTCTCACTCAGACTGATGAACCAGAATGGAATGGTTGTAAAAAGTGTTTGTGTAAATGTATCTGGTGTAGAACAAGTGAAAGGGTGGGTGTGTTTAAGCAAGGGGGTTGAGGGCGCACTTTAGTGCCTGAGAGAAAAAGGACTGAAGCCGCAGAGTCTGGAAGTATTGACCTGTTATTGGGCACTCTGCCAGTGGCACCTTCCACTTTTGTTGCCTTAAATATTAGGTTAAAATAGGAGAAACTCTCTACTGTATATATATATATATATATATATATATATATATATATATATATATAATATATACAATTTACCATCATTAAATTGGATTAATTATATGTCTTGCTGCAATATAGGATTTTGGTCTGGGTCAATGAATTGTTTTAGCCGATGTATGTAATGTGAACAGAGAATGGGATTTGAGGCTTTGTAAAATCAGCAGTTTGTTTTTCTGTAGTGTGCCAACTGATTGCATAGGGTCATTTCAAGTATACATTTAGTTGACAGGCCATTCTCTGTAAACACTGCAAGAGGAAGTGGTATGTTAAACAGAATGACTATAATCATATTGCCCAATGGGAAGGGTGGAAAAATGGATGCAGCAAGCAACTCTAAGCATAAATAAAGCATTTGCAAAATGGCAGGGCTAGGTCATGGGTCATGGTAGTTCACTTTGATAGACTAGCTGCTAATGTTGGCTTTGCAGGTCAGACAGGAGAAATGCTGACTTAAGTAATAAGAAACATAAATGGATGTTGAATTAACAGTTACCAGATTAGATGGCAGACTATGTCTCTGAATTCAGTCTATTTAGACAGAATATTTAAGAGGTTTTGGGATTGTTGACAATTTCAAGAGACTCTGAAACTGTTTTTGTTGTTTCAAATAGTGATAGACCAGACCAATTAATTAATCTGATTTATTTAAATGCACTTATTATATACATATATAAACTCTTTTCACTCAGAAATTGCTAGCAAATTTCACAAATAAGGAAATGGCAAATGACACATTGAATAAAACATTTTTAGTTTCAGGTTTTAAGTAGAAAGACTTAAGAAATACTCCAATAATGTATTTACAACTTAGGAAAACAATTTGTAAATTAATTATGCGGCCAAGATTTAGAGTAAAACTAAATTATAATATAAGAATTCTAAAATAGGAAGTATAATAAGTGTTATTTTTATTTGAACAATTTTGTTAAAAGTATATATAAGTATTTATATATAAAAGTATTCGGCAAATGACATGCAGGCTAATCCAGGGTCACGTAAGGACAGGGCGTTTGTGATAGCTTCGCTGCTGTAGATTGAGAAAGATTTATGTTATGGAAATACAGTCAGCAAGTGTCACCCTGATCAGAAAAATTAGACCAAGGTGAAAGCAATGCAGGCTCAGCTCCTCCATTATGCAAGTAATACGTCACAAAAATATGGGCTAGCCTGTGTTATTTCATTGCTGCATGCTGAATGGATCAGCCAGATGTGATTTAGGCTAATTGTTTTTTGTTGGCTCCCCTCTTGAAAAGATACTTAAGTTTGGCTGCCTTGTATAGAGCATAGAAAAAACCAATGTATGTTAGGGATGCACCGAAATGAAAATTCTTGGCCGAACAAAATTAAACACTGGGCCGAAGGCTGAACACCGAATACCGAACACGGTTTTTCACATTTTCCCCCCATGTAGGCCTATTTTGCCATTGTTTTTTTCACCATTGCATTAATTACATTGCCAAAATGTGCTTTTTACTGTTTTGTCCTGCTTTTTCAAATAAAAAATCAATTACAAAACAACAATTTAAAAATATTTACTTAACACTGAACATTATTTTTTTTCATTCTAGCAGACATTATACCAACAAAGCACAATATAACTTAAAATTAATAAGTTGCTGAGCAGAAAATACTGCAGAAACCCGCAGGAAGATCTCAGTGCTTCTTTTTGTTAACAACCGCATGCAGCTTTATAAATGATTCTCATTACGAATTTGGAAAGATGTTTGTCGCACGTATCGCATTGTCACATGCCTTTAAAAAAAAATTCAGAAAAATGTTACTGAGCAACTGACGAGTAACAAGTTCAGCGCAGATTTTCCTCGCGATTTGGACTGTGAACCCTGGCTCTGCGAGCTCGTGCAGCGCTGTCAGAATACATGCAATTCGTGCGTGCATTAGAAAATATAACATTCTGCAGTTGATTTACTAATCGTTTAAAGGTAATTTCGCGATTTCAATCATCATACAGTAGCCTAACCACCAGCATCAGCCACCTCTTCTTCTCATCGGAGACGTGATGCAGCACTAAACAGTCTCTCGCTGTCGGTGCTTCGTGCTTGTAATGATTTCTGCGTCTTTCTCTGATAGTTTTAAATACATTCACACTGCCGTCATGTTTGCTGCATTAGTGCGTGCCTCTATATGATAGTGTTAGCCATTGTTCGGTACATATTATTCGGCCTTTTCGCTTATAATTTCGGTTGCCGAATATTCGGTGCATCCCTAATGTATGTCAGTAGTGATCCAGAATGCATGCTTACTTTCACAGGCCAATTTAGATGGACTGACTCTTATTATGTGTGCTGCATCATCCAGCCTGTCTTTGTACTTCATTTTAATCTCACTTAGCCTACATAACTGCAGGCTGAAATCTAACAATCACATTAAAAGATTATTTTGAAGGCGGTCCATCGGGAAATGACTATTAGACGTTCTTGTGAGCTGAGGCAGCACGAAGCACATGCAATGACCGCAGAGAAGAATTTTGCTGTGAATGTCTTCCATCCTGGAAGATGTGATAATCAGAGGCTCTGTAACTCTGGGCTGCTCTCCATTAAACAATGTAATGCAGTAACCTTCAGCCCAGGGAAAGTGCTTTTCCTTGTTATGAGTGTATTTACTTTGTTGAAAAGAGCAGGATGGCTGATCACAGGCATATGTTGTGTTTTGGATGCTGTATTTCCACTGGTCAACCAGCTTGATCAGAACACCATGCTAGTAAAATCTGGTGTTGGTGAATATGATAATGTAGCAGGTATGATGTTTCACTTTAATAGTTTTATTCCAGCAAGAATTGGGTCAGTGACCTAAAACCTGACCAGAAAAAAATTCCAGATCTACAAATTTTCCATTAAAAATTCGATTCATACATACAGGGACTTCTTCAATGATGAGCATGTTTTTATTTTCTGAATTTGAATTCAATTCAATATTGTCTGGGAACAAGTATTGTCTAGGAAAAAAAGG